GGGTAGGGAGGTTAGTTCGGGTGTTGGGTAGGGCAATACAAGAAAGGGGAGGAGATGGAAGGACAAGACAGATAGGGAACACTGACACAGGTTTGCATGGGCTAAGTGGGACACAGGTAAATAGTGATGCATGCTCAACCTTGAAACAACAGGGCTCTGTGATACAGGGATCTAGACACAGTTTGCAGAAGGGAAATAATACTAAAATGCTTGACTGTCTTATGAATATTGGTTTCCCTTGCCTACTGTTGTAAAAAAAACACGTGAGTGGGATAGAAAGGAATGTTGATTACAGAAAACTTGTAAGGCCGTCTTCAGCCTATAACTGATTGGAATACCTAAAAGGGGTTCTAGAACTTGCCCAGTGAAATAGGCATCTTGCAAAGCCTTTGCAGAGTATAGGATCTTATGTGGAATCCTGAGTCCCATCCAGAACCTTCTGAGGTGGGACATTCCCACCAGAAAGGACAAGCAGACCAGCCTGCAACAGCTAGAGACAGAAGATAAATCTTCAAAGAAAGAGCATCAGGAAAAACCCAAAACAAAAAAGTCAGCATGACTGGCTACTATAAGAATAAACAAGCTGCTCGCCAGGAAGCCATCAAGGCAAGCAGGACAAACTCCCCTCTAAGACTAAAGGAGCTCTGGTAGCGTAGTGGTTACAAATCGGGCTGGGAACCACAAAGTCAGCAGTTCAAAACTACCAGCTGTTTCACGGGAAAAAGATGAGGCTTTCTGCTCCTGTAAAGATTTACAGCCTCGGAAACTCTGTACAGGGAACCGACTCCACGGCATATAACAACAAGACTGTAACTCAAAGTGAAGACATGAACAGGCATGTAAGCTTGCTGGCGACCAGATTGGCCTATTTATTGGTGAGTGGAAGAGGTGGAAAAGCAGCAATGAAGAAATGGGCTGAGTTCAACCAGTTTATTGACTCCCGCTGACCTGGAGATGAGAGAGAGAAGAGGAAGGGCTGTTTGGTCCAAAGTGTGGTGAGAGACCTGAAGACAGCGGAGTCCATAGACAAGGACAGCCAGAGGGCTAGAGCTGAGAGTGAAGCATCCAGCTGATATGAAGTGAGGGGAGATGCGCATGAAAACCCAAACTTGCAGACAGTACCCATTTGACCTAGCCTTGGTGGCTTGATAATGTGGTGAGAGACCTGAAGACAGCGGAGTCCATAGACAAGGACAGCCAGAGGGCTAGAGCTGAGAGTGAAGCATCCAGCTGATATGAAGTGAGGGGAGATGCGCATGAAAACCCAAACTTGCAGACAGTACCCATTTGACCTAGCCTTGGTGGCTTGATAATCAGAACTTGACTATAGGAAAATTACACACACACACACACACACAAAAAAAAATGTTTTTTTTTTTTTGATAAAGGAAAACAAGGGTAAATTGCTACAATTTGATGAACCTGACCTATACTCATGGAGGTAGTAACTCTAAATACCAACACAGAGGGAAGTATCAAGTATCAGTGCTATCCCCTCTGTACACAAGGTAGACAGGGATGGGCAACTTGGATACTGGTTGACTTAAATGAGGGGGAGATAAAGGCACGAAGTGACTGGCTTACAAGGTTTCAAGAGGGGGTTTAGTTTAATAGTGTGTGGGGGAAGAAAGAATCCCCACTGAATAGTTGTCATCTTGTCTAGATGGGTCTGGTGAAAAGAGATGGGGATAAGATTCGTATGATTCAATAGTGAATAATTATTATCATGACTAATTGCAACTGTCACAACTGTAAAGGTAGAAGTTTTGTAACAAAAACAGGGGAGTGGTTAAATTTATAGTCCAGAAACAGATCCTAGGACCCTATCAAGGGAGAAGAGCACAAGCAGAATTTGTGAGACCGTCACTCCAGAGAAGCAGTGATGCCAGAGACGGAGGCAGAGATGGGATCTTGGAGAGGGGGGAGGCTGAGGACTCTAGATTCATGGGAAGAGAGGGACTAAGAGCTGGTGGCTAGGAGGAAGACTTGCAGAATGTGCCCTTTGGAGGTGTAAATTATTATATATGCCTAATTGCCTTTTTTTTTTTAAAAAAAAAAAAGCTAAAGTGAATAGAGAGAAATACTGTTAACTGATGGTACATGGAGGGGATTATAATGATTGTAATGAAACACGGTGTATGATTTGTTGAATGTAAAACTGATGATTTGCCCTGTAAACTTTTACTCAGTCCACAATAAAAACCTTAAAAAAAGAAATCAGAAGGGGCAAAATCAGGGCTGTAGGTTCAATGGGACAGTTTCCCAACAAAATTCTCATAGGATAACCCTTGCTACCCTCAAAGAGTTAAAGGTGCATTGTCCTGATGGGGAAAAAAAAATTTTGGCACAAATTTTCTGAGCTTTGTCTGGCTAACGCAGTTTTCAATTTTCTTTAAAATTCTTCCTAATAAGCCCGAGATCATCCTGTGTCCTTCGAGATTATTGTTGTTAGTTGGTAAGTGCCGCTGAATCGGTTCCAACTCGTGGTTGGTTGGCTATGTGCCGTGGAGTCGGTTCCGACTCATAGTGACCCTGTAGAGGGTTTCTGAGGCTGTAAATCTTTACGGGAACAGAAAGTCCCATCTTTCTCCTGCAGAATAGCTGGTAGTTTCGAACTGCTGACCTTGAAGTTTGCAGCCCGATTCATAACCACTACTGTACCAGAGCTCCTTTTACAGTGATCCTGTATAAGTTTTTCCAAGGAGCGGGTGGTGACATTCCACCTTTGAAATTCCAAAAAAAGACACCATTACCTTTTCAGTTAATTTCTCTTTCTTGAATTTAACTGGCCAAGCAGATACCCTGGAAATCACTGTTTTTATTTATTTATTAAGTCATCTTCATGAGACTAAGACAAGTGTGTTACTGAGAAAATTTGTCTGCAGCCATCTGCTTATCACATGTTGTTGTTGTTGTGTTAATTTCCGTCGAGTTGGTTCTGACCCATAGTGACCCTGTACAGGATTTACAAGGAGCGGCTGGTGAGCTTGAACCGCCGACTTGCAGTTCTAACAGCTTTGCAGTCTGGCGTATTAACCCACAACACCACACCAGGACTCCTTATCACATAGCTATGTTTAAACATGTTTCATTTTAGAATAAACCAGTGCATGAATATGGGAATCTGTGTTTATTTTTTAACTGCTCAAAGAAATCTGATGTACACTCAAATCTGAAAAACAATCTTTTAGATGATATCTTTTAGTCTTACATCTGTTAACTCGTTCATAGTCTCTGGGTTAGTTTTGAAAACATTTTTGAGCCACTGAATTTGAGTATTAAAGATAACCAATATGGAACCATTAATCAAGCCTAAAATATTCATGGAGATCCCAGTGTTATGTGAGGTGCTGCCTTAAAGGCATTGAACTGTAGTCCTAACAGAGGTCACATGATTGAAACCAACTAAATTTTTCTGGCTAAATAAACTTTGATTTAATTTGATCAAGCACTGAGAAACTGAATACATTCTAACTAACTGAACTGTTTACAGACCACCTGGTATCATTTCTGATTTGCATCAGCAGTTCAGGATACTTCCAATTCATGAATGTAATATATGCTTTAATACTTTCCCCCATTAAGTTTTCAAAATTAAAAAAAAAATTTATATATATATCAATGTTGTAAGTAGAATATAATGTCTACTATAAGCAGTAGGCACTTAACCAAAAGGTCGGCAGTTCAAACCCACCGACACTATGTAGGAGGAAGATGAGGTTTCTGCTCCAATAAAGATCTGCAGCCTTGGAAATCATACAGTCACTATGAGTTGGAATCAACTCAGCAGCAGTGGTTTTCTCTATAATAGAGAAATCTAGACCTAGCATTAGAGGGAGAAAGATGATCATAACAGCACAAGTAACATTTCTATTAACTACTGACTGATCGTGCTGGGGAGCGCTGACACCTGCCTTTGTGTTCTAACTGAACAGAACAAAGCTATGAATTAGTCCATAAAGAAAACATCTGAATGTTGTTTCCCTCCTAATGTGAAGTTGCAAAACTTTAAGACTGGACAGACTTTACAGAATCAGATTACTATTTGTACAAGACATTCTGTGTCTAGACCTTTTGTGTTTTAAAATTCATTTCTCAGCCTATCTGGTACATACAGTTACTACCATTTAATATCCTATTGCATGTCTGTTATTCAACAGTATCTTATTCAGTAACTGAAGGCTAGCAAATAAAATAAAATGTATGTTGCATGCTCTAATCCCACTTGAGGTACTGAATACCTCTGGTCTGGCTTTTATTACAGGATTTTGGAACCCATTCCTATAAATGTCACTTATACAGATGAACAAAAAGCACTGGCTCAAAAAATTTCCCCAATCTTTCTGCAATCTTATCTGTTCATATAATAGAGTTCATTAAAGGCACAGTTAGTATGAAAGGTTTAATTAACATTCTTATTCAAATACATACTTTCATACAGACTATTTACCTGCCTCCCTGCTCCCCTCAACACTAAGAGTCTACACTTATAGAACTGGAATCTTAGGTAATTATTTAGTCCAATACTTCTAACTTTACAGTTTAAAAAGTAGAGGATGAAAACTATGTAATTTTCCCATATTTATAAAGTTTTACAACAAAGTCAAATCTTCTCACTTCAAAACCAATCTTATTTCCATTATATCTGTTTCTTTTCAATCCATATTAAAGGCACATGAAAATTAAAGTCATTAATGTATTATAGCAACAAAATCCTCAAAACCAAATACTAATTTTAATAACTGACTTTCACTTGGGATTTAGACGTTAATAAAATTTCTGATTCATAGTAAGAGCTCAGATATTATGTTAAACACTTTATATATTTATCAATTCTCAGAATAATCCAATGAGGTTAAAAATATTATAGAAAACAGGAAAAGTAAGTCTCAAAAAAGTTGAGGAGTTTACTCAGAAGCCTGATTTTTAACACCAAAGCCATATTCTTAAACATCACACTAGACTTCTTCACCAGGGAGCTACTAGGGTAGACAACTCACCGAAGCAGGAACTGGTTCCTGGAATTCAATACTTAATTCATGGCAATAGAGGTAAAGCAGAAGACGTTCACATTTCTGATCCAAAAAAGCAAAAGGGAAAAAAAAAAAAACACATGAAATATTTTCCCCTCACAATAAATTCTTAGGGGGAACTATTATCACTACAGTGTATTATCCCAATGAATTAAACATAAAGTCTCCTACATATTAGCTATTCAACTAAACGCATACACTCAAACTCACTTTCCCCTTCCCATTTAGTTTGAAGTCTATCTCTGTTCTACCTCAAGTGAAATGATCAAACTTAACAGTGCCTTAATCTGAACCAGGTAAAATAATTATGGTAATTTATCTACAATTAACTCTCAATGACTTATTCAAATGTAAAAGAATCATAATAGGAACATACAGCACTTTGTGCAAAAGAACTTAGTGATTTATAAACGATCAACGTTGCTCCCTACTGTAATTCCTTGAGGCAGACAGGACAAGTGCTGTTATCTCTGTTATTCATCCTTTCTTCAAATGATTCTAGAGTCATGTTCAAAATTAAATAGAAAATTCAATCCAGAATTTTTTTTTCTCTATTCAGTCAGAAGTACAATGAATTGCATTTCACATTATATGGCTTTCTAACTGCTAACATTTCTTTTAATATAAATTTTTGTAAAACCTAAATACACACCTTCACACTTGATAAGACAATGGAAGAAGGAATTTGCAAGTATATACATTAGAACCCCTAAACGTAACTCTGACCACAGAACTATGTGAAATATTTTGTGACTTTGGAGAATCAGACTACAATCTTCCCTTGGCATCCACAGGGAACTTAGCTCCAGGAGTTCCATAGATACCACAATCCAAGGATACTCAAAAGTCCCTTATATAAAATGTAGTATTTGCATATAATCTACACATATTCTCTAGTATACATTTTACATTCCCCTCTTACCACTTAACAGCCTCCCTCCTCCACCTGACCCTCCCCGATATTTTCTAATGGCAATTGGTTGAAAATTGGTGGAGGTGGAACTTGTGGAGGGCCGACTGTACTTTCTCATGAGAAGCCATTTTAATTCACATTCTCTACACAATTATTCCATTACCTAATTTCACAATTTGGCTCTGTAGGATAAGCACTGGTCTACTAACAAAAAATTGGCAGCTTGAGTCCACCAGCCACTTCAAGGGAGAAAGACAAGGCTTTCGGTTTTCATACAGACTTACAGCCTCAGAAACCCTGTACACGGCTGTCTTGATTCTTTACTTTCTGCTGGGTTTCGGGCATAACTAACAGGGGTGAGTGGTGGTGCCACTGAATGATGCTGAGTGTTGAGGTGGCTGGTCACTATGCTATTATATGTGTGGGTTTCATTTTTTAAGGGAGAAAGTTTTTTAAAAAATTAAGAATTCAGTTGAGAGATGGTAAGTGGGAAGATGATGGAGATAGTCTTGAGCTCTTGGCTAGATAGGCAGATTTTGAAAGTCATCAACATACCATCAGACAGTGAAATTAAATATTGTTTTATCAGGCTATACTAAAGGGAGGAAAAAAGATACATAGACAATGACCTATATAGAACCTATAACAAATCACCTTAGTAGGTACTTACCCTTTGGTCCACGGGGCTTAAACCCTGCACAGTTTTCCCCTTCTTACTATGCTGTAAATTATCACAGTCATATTCTACTTCTGGTTTTCCAATATCTCTGCAAAATGTGCATATCCAGTCCCCACTAAACATGGAAAGAGGCAATTAGTCTACATAATTATAACAAAGCCTGGTCCAGAAGCAAAGCTCCCAAGTGGTGTGTTACCAGCCTGTTTTCTTAGTTTCCAGTTTTGGGGAGAAAGGAGGTTCTGTTCTTGTCAAATCTTACAAGGTCAAGTTTTGTGATAAGAACCCCCTCACACTTTCCTCAGTCATTCTTCATCTGATTATCTCCTAAAAAGTATTGTAGGAGATACAGATGGGTAACTCGTGATACTGTAGTGAATAATGCTTATCAGGACGGATTGTGAGGGTTGGAAATGCAAAGGTAGAAGTTTTGTAACAAGGAAGGGAGTGATTAATTCTCCAGGATAGGAGCGGAGGCCTCTGGGACCATCAACAGAGAAGAGCCGAGAGCGGGATCCTACCCAGAGAAACAGGGATGCCTGAGATAGAGACAGAGATGATGACGTGGAGTGATGAAGCGTCTGGGAACCTTGGACCCAGCGAGGGAAAGGGACTGTGGGCCGAAAACTGGGGGGAGGAGGGAGAAGTGTAGGGGGCGGATTTCTGGAATATACCCTTTGGGTGGTTGATGATGCATGGAGGGGATTGGAACCATGGCAATAAGATGGAATGAATGTAAAACTAAAGCTCTCCCATGTAAACTATCATATAATTCACAATAAAACATTAAAAAAAAAAGTATTATAAAAAAGTGGCATCTTTGACTTAAAGGGGGTCTCTTTCTGCCATAAAATTGGTATCGAGTACTTGTGACATAAGACCAATACTACAACCACACGAACCCAATATTTGCAAAAGATAGGAGCTCCTCAGGTATATGAATGAACATATATTTCTCAGGAATACTGAACATGCCAAAGAGAACTTATTTTTTCTTTTAATGACTAGTTAAAAGCCTGTAACACACATACCTGTAAGTATATGTACCATTTACCTTTTAACTGTTAAGTGTCTATAATATATCTGCATCAAGATTTGTACCAAACTAGACTCCAGAATCATTACATATCTTTATATATAAATAATATATTTGTATGTATGTGTATGGGTCTAACAATGGTTCTAACCTATATGGACCAACAGTTCACAATTCCCACCTACCTAATGGTTCTGCTTTTAAGAGGAAGCATTCAGTGTTGAAGCATTGACAACCCAGCAGATTGTCACTAACCCAAGGAAAGAAAAACATGAAGTCTTTATTTCAAAATCTAAATGCCAATCTTTTGTTTTCTAAAAGAGAAAGAAGGTTCCTTCCTGTTCTATCCCTGACAAAGACCTATACCTTCTAAGTTTTAGGTAAGAATGATACACAATTCTTCAGAAAAACATGCTGGCCCTGTTCATATCTACCAATTTTCTAATCTAAAGGTTGGATCTTTTTCAAAAGAAAGTAGCACTGTTCCAAAAAAATCATTGGTTCTCAGGAACTTAAGAGACAATCTGGTTTGTTTGTTTGTTTTTAATCTATAGGCAGAAACAAACTTCCTTTTCCCTCAAGAACACTTTTTAAAAAGCTGGGAAACAGGGTGCAGGGAAAGGAAAAGGTAGTACTGGAAAGAAAGAAAAATAACTCCATCTATGTTCACTGAGATCAATCTGAGACAACAGACTGAATGAACACAAAATGCACAATGTTCACTGGAAGGGATCTAGGTCATCCAACTCTAACCCTATCAACTCCATAATGCAGAAATGAATCCCTGCAAAACAGAAGATTCATTCAAGCTCATTAAGCTAGTTCAATACAGAATGATGGCCGGCATACGAGTCCAGTACACTGGTGAACTGCTGTCAAGTCAGTCCCAACTCATGGGGAGACCCTATATAGGGGGGTTCCAAGGCTTCCAACTTTCAATCTTTGTGGGAGCAGAAAGCTTCATCTTTCTTCTGAGGAGTCCACTATACTGCTATTGTTGTTGAATCAGTTCCAACACATAGCAACTTTGTAAAGGATTTCCAAGGAGCAGCTGGTGGGTTTGAACCGCCACCTTGCAGTCTAGTGTTTATCCTACAGTGCCACACCAGTATACTAGCTCCATTTTATTAGCTAGTATCATCAGTTCTCCCTGGGTGCTCACCAACCAATGCTCACCAACCTGAAACCCTCTTTGTTGTTGTTTTCAAGTGCTGTCAAGTTGGTTCCAACTCATAGCAACCTTTCATAGGGTTTCCAAGGAACGGCTGGCAAGCTGATACCGCTGACCTTGAGGTTCAAACTGACATTGCAGTCTATCACTAAAGTCAAAGCAGTTTGAGAACAATACTTATATTTTCCACAATTCTTTTAAAATCTTTTTACCCTGAATTTTTCTAATTTAAATAAGGAATTCAGTTAACTGATCATCCCAAAGTTAATGATTAAGAGATACTTCTCTGAGTTTATCTCAGAAGAACCCTAGGAAAATCTACACATAAGGAAGTAGTCACTACCAATTAATGTTTTCAGTGGTCAAGGGGTAAGAGGGAGAACCTAACAAATGCAAGACATTATAGTCTTTAAAAAGACTTTTTTCACCCTTTAATAGCAATTTTTGCTAAATGGTACTCACAAACCAAACCATTATCATAGACCATATTAAGATTATTGGCTACTGACTAAAAAATTCTGCTTCAGAAATAAATGAACTTTCCCCAACACCCCAAAATTCCTTCATCCTTCATAATTTAGAGTTTTATCCAGTTACATTACACTTCGTATAAACTAAAGGCCAAGAGGTAAAGAGTCTATTGTTTGGTAACACAGAACTCAAATTCTAGACATTTGATTACCCAGTTATCATATTTTCTGAAAGGATTACCAAAGGATTAGTAGGTCCTTATTTTACAAACATAGTATGCACTGGTTAAGGCCATTTCTCCAGAGTAAATTTTTGCTTATAAAAATGAACCCCCAGAGTAGTTAATCTTACAGTCCAGAAACAGAAGACCCTAGGACCATCAATGGAATACAGCATGAGCAGAATGTGGGCGCCTATCCAGAAAAGCAGCAACACCAAAGATGGAGGCAGAGATGATGACATGGAGAGAAAGAGCAGCTGAGGACTCATGGCAAGAAGTGTATGCTGGTGGCCAGGAGGAGGGCTTGCAGAATGTGCTGTTTAGTTGTTTAAATGATTATATATTCCTGAATGTTTTTGTGTATGTTAAAAAAAAACCCAAAAAACAAAAAAATAATACGGATGCATGGAGGTGACTGTAATCACTGCAATGTAACGAAATACGATGAGTGTAAAACCAACGTTCTCCCATGTAAACTATCACTCAATTCACAATAAAAACTTAAAAAAAAAAAAGAACCCCCAGATATAAATAGTTCTGTATTTCACTGTTACCTTGGAAAACTAAGAAGTGTCGGAACATGACAAGTTAGATGAAAGACCTTTGGACATTTTTCACAGCACAAGAGATCCCCTCCATTTTGACAGACAGCACACCAGTCTTCATTTGGGTCATCATCTTTGTTGTTGCCATCTCCACCAATCCTTGCTGACCTGTGCATGAGGCTTCGAGCTGGGGATTTTCCATTAACAAGAGTGCTAAGCCCTGACTGTTTGCAGCTTTCATTCATATCTGTGGGTTCCGTTTTCACATGGTTTTCCAAGCTTGCTAATGCATCCAACTCACTCTCTAAATGCAGGCTGGTTGAGAGAGGTGGTGTCAAGCTACTCTCAGGACTGCTCAACTGAAAATAAAACAACAACATATTTTTGAAGATTTATTTAAATCTTATTATATGAAATATGCTTGCATGTATGTGTTATTTAAAAGTTACATCAATATGTATATAAACATACTAATAAAAATGTTCAAATTATTTTGTAAATTACATTAGTGACATAAAGGAGCAAAAGAAACTTACAAATTATTTGGTGGTGGTGGCTGTGTGCCGTCAAGTCAGTTCTGACTCATAGAGAATACAGGGTTACCGAGGCTGTAAATCTTTGAGAGCAGTAAGCCTCATTTTTCTTCCGAGGAGTGTCTGATGGACTCAAATTGTTGCCTTTACAGTTAGCAACCCAATACATAACCCACTGTGCTACCAAGGCTCATTCAAAATTATTTAGACATGCTAATATATGGTTTTGTTGTTGTTGTTAAGTACCGTGGAGTCGGTTCCAACTCATAGTGACCCTGCACAGGGTTTCTGAGGCTGTAAATCTTTACAGGAGCAGAAAGCCTCATCTTTCTCCCATGGAATGGCTGGTAGTTTTGAACTGCCAACCTTAAGGTTAGCTAGCAGCCCAATTCGTAACCAGTACATGAACTCCTTAATATATGGTTTTAGAGGGCAAATAAAGAAATAAACCCTGATACTGATTGAAGAAACTGAACTGTATGAAGAAAAATGTGGCATCAGGATTGGAGGAAAACTCATTAACAACCTGTGATACGCAGATGATAAAACCTTGCTTACTCAAAGGGAAGAGGACTTAAAATACTTCCTGATGAAGATCAAATACTACAGCCTTCTTTATGGGTTGCATCTCAATGTAAAGAAAACAAAAATGCTCACCACTGGACCAATAAACAAAATCATATAAATGGAGAGAACACTGAAGCTACCCAAGACTTCATTTTGCTAACATCAACCATCAACACTCATGAAAGCAGCCGTCAAGAAATTAATGTATTTTGCATTAAGCAAATCTGCTGCACAAAACTTCTTTAAAGTGAAGAGCAAAGATGTCAGTTTGAGGACTAAAGATGAGCCTGAACCAAGCCATGGCATGGTATTTTCTCAATAGCTTCACATGCATGTGAAAACTGGACAATGAATAAGGAAGACCATAGAAGAATTAATGCATTTGAGTTATGGTGTTGGAAGAGGATATTGAAAAGTATGATGGACTACCAAAAGAACAAACCAACTTGTACTGGAAGTAGTACAGCTAGAGTGCTCTTTGGAAGCTATGATGGTCAGACTTTTTCTCTTATATTTTGTACATATTATCAAGAGGGACCAGTCACTAGAGAAGGATACCATGTTTGGTAGAGTGGAGGGTCAGAGAAAAAGAGGAAAACCCCCAATGAGATGGACTGGCACAGTGGCAGCAGCAATGGGCTCAGGTGTAGAAACGACTGTGAGGTTGATCCAGGACTAGACAGTGTTTCATTCTGTTGTGCATCGGGTTTGCTGTAAGTCGGTACAACTCGATGGCACTTAGCAATAACAACAACTGACTGTGAAGTAGCATATAGTTGTACTATTCCTACAGAATTGCTAATGTCAAATCATTTTTCACATCAGAATGTGTTGCATAATGTTTGAGAAGTCTTCAGAAATCTTCTGATAACCAATCATTCTATTAACGCAGAAAGAACATGAAAATGTAAGCAAAATCTTTCACCATCATTTTGCACCCAGTTTTATGAAGGTATTTTCCAAACCACGTTCTGGATGAACAGGCGGCACTGCTCCTAAACAAGGTAACTCTGATGTTCCCAGCTCTGTAAAGCTACATACTCTGAGCTAAATATACTCATCCTCTGAGCTGAAATTCTTAAGTGTCAGTCATGTAGAAAATGAGGAACACCCTGGGCAGTGAGAATGAGAAAAAACCAAGATGGAAATTTCCAAACAAATAGGGATCTTCATTCTAAATTACAAAATTAATAAATGTTCCAAATGACAAGCTCTAGAATGATTACTAATTCATAAGCCAAAAGGCAATCTTACTATCACAAAACTCTTTGATCACTAAACTTCTTTCATGTCAACAGCGTTGATGCTGAGCTCACAATTCTAGAAAAGCCAAGGATCTTCTTTGGACTAAGACTAAACTTAACTACTGAGGTCCTCACCAGCTGCTCCTTGGAAACCCTACACAGGGTCGTCATGGGTCCGAAGCGACTCGATGGCACTTGACAACAACAATGAATTCAGAGTAAAAAAGCCCCCAACGGAGCATCACGGAAACAATATTGACTAATAACAAATGCAACAATAATCTCATATGAGTGCAAAATAAAATGAAATCTTTTGTTGTTGGTAAGTGCCGTCAAGTCAATTCCAACTCAGTTATACTGTATAGGGTTTCCAAGGAGCATCTGGTGGTTTTAAACTTCTGACTTTTCTGGTTCGCAGTCCAGTGCTTACCCAACAGCACCACACAAGGAGTCTTTATTTCCTATTTATTGGAGCTGTGTCTTAGGCCAAAAAGTTGAGTCAGAAAAATGGAGAGTTATTTGTCTTATGCCACGTAAGAAATTTCAAAATTCATGTCCCCAGATCCAGTATTGTTTAATACACTCACAGATAGACCTTGTCCGACTCATGGGAGCTTACCATGCAAGCACTCCTCCTGCCATCCTCAGTCTTTTCTTGTTTCACAGCTCCTGAAAAGCTACATATTTCGTCCTCAGTCCCAGGTTCTTGCTTGACCTTCACTTGATCAGATTTGAAACTAAGACTGGTCTTCTCAGCAGTTCTCCCTGATGACCCACAGCTAATGAAAGACAACAAATACAGGCCACATGTTTGAATGTGGGTCACATATAAAAACAATGATCATAAGATAAAGACAATAGACGACATTATAGAAGATAAGGACTGTTCAGGATTCAGGAAAGAGAAACGTGGAGTAAACCTAGCTTCAAACTCTTTATAAAAACGTGGAACAAACTTTCAAAAGATCCTAAAAACACATTCTATACTCTGAGGCACTTAAAATAACCATTAAAAAAGACTAGTAAGCTGTCATTCTCCCAGGCCAGTAGGAAAGACAGCGTCTCTTTTAGTAAGTAGTTTTCAACTTTCCTCGGTCCCCAAACATCTGAGAAATGACATCAATCATAGTGGTTTTTGAACCCTCTTCAAAGGAAGATAATTTTGGCTTTTAAAAGGAGATTGGGGCAAGAAGAAAAGGAGTAGCCAACATCCAGAATGTCCTTAGACAGTGTCATGGTTAATACCGTGTTCCAATTTGGCTAGGCTATGATTATCAGCAGTTTGGCAGACATTATGTACTCACCATTTTCCATTCTGTGATCGGACATGAGCAGCCAATCAGCTGAAAGGGACGTTTCCTTATGGGTATAATCTACCTCCTTGGAAACACTATACAAGGGTCACTATGAGTCAGAAATGACTCGGCAGCACTAACAACAGTAACATATATAATTGGATGTTCTGGCAAACCTGGCTCTCTGTCTTTAATCTGAACTCTTCTTATCACCTGACTTCCGATTCTTAAAGCATAGAAGGCATCTACAAAACTCTCTAGCCGGTTACCTTACCTGCATAAGATTTAGGATTCACCAATGCCCACAAATCCATGTGCCAGCAGAGGTCCACTGCCTGTCGCCTGAACTACACATATAGGACCTGAGCCTCGGAAACCATATACAGGGTCATTATGAGTCAGAACCAACTCCACAGCACACAACAACAACAAAGCCTTGATAACTGAATAAGCCATTTCCTCACAAATGCATGAGCTCTTTTCTTGAAGAAATTTCTCTCTATATTTTCATATGTTTCACTGATTTTTCTTCTCTAAAGTACCTAGACTAAAATCGATAATAATTGGATAAGAGGACAGATACATGACTAATCAGTTATATCTGGAACACAAAACAAAACTACTGTTTAAAGAAGTCAATCACTTTTAAGACTGTGTTGCTACTAAGAATGAACACCTTTTGCACTTAAATCTGTACAGTTCTCCTAAAAATATTTGAAGTATAATTATAAAAATTAAAGCAAGGATTAATTAGGACCAGTCATTAGAAACATGCAAACAAAATCATTTATATAACAATTTAAATAAACTCTTTCTTGCATTATTGCTACATTATTCAAATTAGAGAGTAAAAAACAGTCAACATTTATTGCATTTTATCTTAAATTGTATACACATGGGAGAAAGATGAGGCTTTCTGCTCCTGTAAAGATTTACAGCCTCGGAAACCCTGTGCAGTGTGTCACTATGAGTTGGAACTGACTCCACGGTACTTAACAACAACAAAAACCCTCATATCTTGACTCTATTCATCAAAAAGACCTAAAACAATGACTATTTCAGCAGCAATGAATACCCACAGTACCAGGAGACTGTCTCCAAACCAGGTGCATAATGGCTAACGTGACAAAATCAGAACAGACTCAAATTTCTAAAGTGTTGGTAAATAACTGGAATAGGAAAAGTATGCAGGTCTGGAATGGGAGGCTTGGAAGAAATATAGCACAAACCCTTTCAGGAAGCTGGAACATTGTCAGAACTCTGGAGTAACACAGTTGTTGTTGTTGTTGTTAAGTGCCAGAGTAACACAGTAAGATGCCATTTATGAGCAGGCCCCAATGTGTTCCCATCTTTGTCAGACAAAATATTTGGTTGTTACACAATGCACACACAGTCCCTGTTGTTTAGAAGGAAGATTAAGTTTCTAGCAGGGCATTAACCTGCAACTGTTCGTATTCTACTTACTGTTTCAGTACACCCATATTTTAGAAATCCAGGTCTATTTCATCACTACACCTGAATCACTAAGAACTGGTTTGGAGCCCTGTTCCAAAAACCACTTCACTAGCATGACCAGGATTTCTAGGAGACATGGATGATTCCAAGTTTGAGACAAGGAACACTCAAGATAAACCAGGAAATCTTTTCCTACTAGAGAACAAGCAAGGTTTCAAAGACTACTGACATTTATCAAATAGACTATGAATACTCACCACAACTTTTTAAAAGTAATGAATTATAAGGAAAAGGAATAAAAAGTCAACTTGAAAACGTTCTAAAAGGTAAAAATTGAAATAATTTAAGCATCAATAAAAAATATTAACAAAGACCATGAACATAACCCACCTGAATTTAGAAATAATCTCAAGAGCAACAAATTTGATGCATTAGACATGAATGACTGAAGACCAGAAAAGTTATGGGAGGACATCAAGAACATGATACAGAAAGAAAGCACGTTAAGAAAGCGAGAAAGAAGGAAAAGACCAAAATGGATGTAAGAAGAGATTCTGAAACTTGCTCTCCAGCATAGAGATGCTAGAACAAATGGAAGAAATAGGAAGTAACAGCTAAGCAGAAAATTTTCAAGGGTCACTAAGTAAGACAATGTTAAATATTATAATGTAATGTACAAAGGCCTCATGTTACAAAACAAAAAAGGAAGAATAGGCTCACTCAGCTATGCCAAGAAACTTGGAAAGACAGCTACTTGACGAACTGATTGTTACAGATCCAAATTTGTGTCTGTTCCAAAGAGAAGTGACCCAACGGAATGCAGAAATCATCGGACAATAACATTAATATCATATGCAATGAAAATTTTGCTCAAGATAATTAAAAAATGGCTGCAACAGTACATTGACAGGGAACTGCCAGAGGTCCAAGCAGCATTCAGACAAGGATGTAGAACTAGGAATTATCACTGTCGACAACAACTAGATCTTGACTAAAAGCAGATACAAGATGTCTATCTGTGCTATACTGACTATGCAAAGACTTTCAATTATGGATCATGACACCCTATGGACAACATTGCAAAGAATGAGTAACCAGAACACTTAATTGTGCTCATGAGCAACCTTTACACAAATCAAGAGGTAGTCATTCAAATGGAACTAGGGACATGGAATGGTTTGAAATTTGGAAAGGTGGGTATCAGGATTGTATTCTTTTACCATACTTACTCAATCTGTACACTGAGCAAATAATCTGAGAAGCTAGATTACATGAAGTACAACATGGCATCAGGAATGGAGGAAGACTCATTAACAACCTAAGATACGCAGATGATACAACCTTACTTGCTGAAAATGAAGAGGACTTAAAATACATACTGATGAAGATCAAAGACCACAGCCTTCAGTATAGGATGCACCTCAATAAAAGGAAAACAAAAATCCTCACAACTGCAAGCACCATGATAAACAGAGCAAAGATAGAAGTTGCCAAAGACTTTCATTTTGCTTGGCTCCACTAGAAACACTCATGGAAGCAGCAATCAAGAAATCAAATGACATACAGCATTAGGGAAATCTGTGTACAAGACCTCTTTGATGTATTCAAGAGCAAAGATATAAGTTTGAAGACTAAGGTGCACCTGACTCAAGCCATGGTATTTTCAATAGCTTCATATGCATGTGACAGTTGGACAATGAATAAGGAAGACTGTAGAATAATTGATGCTTTTGAGTTATGGTGTTTGACAAGAATACTAAAAGTACCATCAACAGCTAGAACAACTCTGTGTTGGAAGAAGTACAGCCAGAAAGCTCCTTAGAAGTCAAGATAGCAAGCTTTCGTCTCTCATACGTTGGACATATATCAAGAAAGATCAGTCCCCTAATAACAAAGGGAACTGGAGGAGGCTTGGTGTGTCACTGTAGAATAAACATGGATTTCTAACTGCAAAGCCAGTGGCTCAAACCTACCATCCATTTCTAGGAAACACTGAACAGGGTCACTATGAGTCAAAACACTTGATGGCCCTTAACAACAACAACAAGGGAACTGAAGGAGTCCTGGTATAGAATTATATGGTAAGCACTGGACTGCTAATTTCAAGGTCTAAGTTTTAAACCCACCAGCCACTCCTCAGACACTCTACAGTGTAGGTGTCAGTGTAAACCAACTTGAAGGCTCTGAACAACTACAACAAGAACTGGAGAAGTTTCAATTTCATTGAAAACTCTGAAGTACACTATTTGGATTTTGGAAGTAAACACTATGTATTTACGTGTGAAATCTTAAAACATTATCACGATCTTTATACATTTCCTTTCAAAATAAAGAACTGCCACCAATAAAAAAAAGAAAGACCAGTCCCTGGAGAATGATATCATGCTTGGTAAAGTGAAAGCATCAGTGAAAGTGAGGAAGGCCCCCAAAGAGATAGACTGGCACAGTGGCAACAGCAATGGGCTCAAGGTTAACAATGATTGTAAACCTGGCACAGGACCGGGCAGTGCTTCATTCTGTTGGGCAAAAGCTTGCTATGAGTCAGAACCAACTCAACAGGACCAAACAGTAACAACACACTGGACTGATATCTGAATTCATAAAGACCATAAAACTCATTTGTCACCCTTGAAGGACTAGAAACCAAGGCTATTGGTAAGTGTCACTGAGTCCATTCCAACTCATAGCAGCCCTGTATGGGGTTTCCAAGGAGCGACTAATTGGTTTGAACCACCAACCTTACAGTTAACAATTCAGTGCTATAGCACCACACCTGAATTCCAGGAACCAAGGTGTTATCAGGAAAACAGGTAAATAAAAGAGAGAGAGAGAGAAATCAAGTATTCATACTGCCTTTCCTATAACCAAATAGTATATGATAGGAATGTACTCATTATAGAAGTATTCTAAGTAATGAATAAAGAAACGATACTCTAAAGTATTATCATGTTCAATCTCTAAAGTGTGGCACTGTAGAATCATCACTGGACTGCGAACCCCACGGTCGGCAATTCAAACCCACCAGCAGCTCCTTGGAAACCCTATGCAGGGTCGCTATGAGTTGGAACCAACTCGAGGGCACTTGGCAACAACAAAATAAAGCTCTAACCAATCATGAATGGTTTCTATCATAAAAAAGACCACCAGACATCATATACCCTGATGGACACATACATTAACCAACAATGAAGTAGTACTGCCTCTACCTTTGCCCAGATCAAACAGGAATATCATCAAACCAATGTATAGGAAATATAGAAAACAGTATATTTATGTGATAAGAGGAAGAGATTTCAATGTAAATAAACCAGATGAAGGCAATATATGTAACTTACTTGACGCTCTCTCACTCAAACCATTTGCTTAAAAAAAGAAGAAAGAAAAGTAACTGGATCATTACTAATAGATATATATTTTTAAAGATATGATTCTGTAGTTTTGTATTTTTTAAATCCTTATCTTTATGCAATATATATTGAAATGTTGTTGTTGTTGTTGTCAGGTGCCATCGAGTCGGAACCGACTCATAGCGACTCCATGCACAGCAGAACGAAACAATGTTCGATCCTGGGCCAACC